CAAGGACGTGAGAGGACTTGGGTGGGGGACACGAACAGCTTGTTGGGTAAACAGTGTGTCCGGACGGCGAATCTTGAAGGACATCGAGCAAACATGACCACTCCCTCATATTCTCCAACACATCAAGGTCAAGATTAGACCCTTGAAAAGTGGGCTGTACCTCTCACGTCATTTACTTTTATTTATGCCGATGGCCTCCATCCAATTTACCTGAAAATTGCGCTTCAACTTCGATTCGTGTCGCGGCGCTCGTCGTAGCACGATCTGCGTTACCTGTCGGCGTGTACACACATGCGGATGGGCGCGCATCTATCGATTTTTTTCCTGAGCATCGCTAACTCGCGGAAGTGCGAGCATGGGCGCACGCGTGCTCGCGCGCGCGGAATTTTTAAACGTGCGCGCGAGTTTGCGTTGAAGTGGGGTTGAGGTGGGCGGGAAAAGGAGGCGACGACAAGGCCTTCGAAAAAATGCGGTTTCGCCCAAATCACCTCCCTGTCCCACCCCCTCCCCTCAACTCCTCGTTAATGGGCTTCCACGCGGTAGCAGCTGCAGCAGCGGAAGGACGTGATTGCAGTAGTGATAATATGATGTAAACCCACTGCCCCGTTAATTAAAACGGTCAGACATCGGCCTGTGGCGACGCACTTTCGTAGGGGGAGAGAGAGGGAGACCGTGCTAGAGATGCAATCTTGACGTACATTAAACTTTTTCGTTGCTTTGTTGCCCAAAAGGAGATGGCCGAAGAGGCAAAATTTGTAGAAAAAAACATCCCCGCGAGATGGAATTGGCCAAAATTGCAAATTCTGGGAATGCCTACAAGTGCAACTAGTTGCCTCACAATTTCTAGCCCTTCCAGTCCATCCTCATCTTCATTGCCCAAACTTTACTCAGCCAGCGGCTCTACCATTACATTTTTTTATAACTAACTCTTCACCGACCTCAAAATTTTCTTTATACCTGGGGATCCAGTTGCTTACTACAACTCAGCGTGTTCATCGAATCGACACCTCACGAATGTGTTATATTTGTTAATTCCCTTTGTACCCCTCTTCTCACACCTCGTGCAAAATACACAATCGGAATTTGACAAAATCTGTATTCAATAATTAGAGGCATAGAATGAATTTTTTTGAAAGATAGCGGTTAAGGCGAAGAGTAGTCGGTATTATCGCCGTGTCTCTTAACTGTCACCCACCAATGCTGCGATGCTCAGAGGCAAAATCGGCTTCGTCGACTCACCCACCATGCTGGGCTCAGATGAGGAGGAAGAGGAGGCGGCGGCGGCGGTGGAGGTGGTAGTGGTGCTGGCGTTTCTTCCGCAAGTCTCAATGTGCTTGTTTAGGTACGCCTTCAAGGCGAACTGTTTCTTGCAGTGCGAGCACTCGTAGAGTCGTAGCGTGGAATGAGTCTGCATGTGGGCACGCAGGTTCGATCGATCGGCGAACGCGCGGCCACAGTGCGCACAACCGTAGGGCTTCTCCCCAGTGTGGGCCCTTCGGTGACCTTGGAGCAACCAGGGTCGGCTGAAGGCCTTCCCGCAGATGTCGCACTGGTGCTTGAGGTTGTGTGTGAGGACGTGCATCGACAGTGCCGGCATAGATACGTAGAGTTTGCCGCAGTGTTCGCACTTCTTGGCCAGCTGACTGTCCAGACTCCTGTGGGTCTGTTTGTGGCGGCTGAGGTTAGAGGAGGTGGCGTAGTGTTTGCCGCACTCGTTACACGTGTATCTGGGGGAGAGAGATGACTGGGGTGTTGAAGAGGGTGGGGTGGAGACCCTGGAAGGACAGTCCGACGACTCAGATGAGGAGGAGGGCCGAGCAACACCTGGGTCGCTAGTTTCCAGACTCCTACGCTTGCGCGATCGTCCGTCAGAGACGAAGAACGCATCGTACGTGTAACCAACCGTAATGCCAGCCTGGAATCCCGATCTCCTACGTTTTTGCCCCAGTTTTGTCGCCACAGGAGTGCTGTGAGCAGGAGGTTTATTGTCTGCCGACAATTCCACCTCAGTCTTGGGTGGAGACGCTGGTTGAGGATTCGGCAGACGCTGGAAGACACTCCAGAAGGACTCATCCTGGTTTGTCGAAGTCGAAGTATCGGATTTTGTCGACTTGTTCATCGATAAATCGATTCCGCCTGAAGGTAAATATCAGATTGCTACCTCAACTGCCTCTAGTGTTCAACAGCAACAGGTGACATAGGTGAAACCGCCATAACAGATCTGCCAAATGTCCACTTAAAAGTGGCCCTACGTCCAGCAAATAAAACCAGAGAATTTGTCAGTCAAATTTGTCCACCAGATGGTACTCAGTGCACGCCACGTGCTCACATAACCCACCCCCCGGCGATAATAATCACCCAGCCCCCCCCCACCCCACCGAGTCGAACAGATGGAGATGAGTGGGAAAGTACTCGTCTCCATAAACGCCACGTTCCAGATGGAAATTGTGTTTCAAGTAATTAACCCAGATGCTCATTCGAATAGGCCTTCCAGCACCGCCCTCACCTCCATGGTTTCAGATGCCTTATTTACGCTCGCGCGTGGCCCACTGGGCTACCGTGATTGCCCGCTGTGTTCTCCCACGTTTACGCCGCCGCGTAGTCTAAATATTTACACAAATTAGCTTCCATCTTGGGTGGCCTGGAAAGAGATGGTGGAGGAGCAGCAGCAGCTCTGTTACACCCGGATCCCAACAGGTAGCGAGTTTGGTATGATGGGAAGACGTGCGTGTCCTTGGATTGAGGACAGATTAACCCCGTTCCGTCTTGTCATGGAAACGAGTGTCGGTGTATACGCTGGTGCACGTACTACCCCCTAAACAAATCTGTCCACGAACAAGCTTCCTCCACTTCACTTTAGTGGCGTTTTTTGGTAGCCCAGCTACCGAGGTGTTCCTGGAAACTGTCGTTGATCATCGTGGAAACTCGGACAGGGGTTCAGCACACCTGTACTTGTGACACCATCGGTTTAAAGTTGACGCACACATGTCGTAAAAAGCATCAAACTGGTGCACTTCACACCGCTGGCACGTTTTATGGTGCCTCTCTGCATCAGCCCTCAGATCCACATGACCTGCGTGCTGCTGGAAAGGGGGCAGCATCATCATCATAATCATCGTCATTACCTGTTCGTCTCCTCCCTTTTAACGATCACTCTTCCACGGTGCACACACACACACACACACACACAAGCAACACGACACGCCAGGTCGGACACCGTAAGATGGCGTTTTAATTACCCGTCTCCAAGGCGCAGAAATTTTGTTTACTTATCAGGTGGCTGGCAGCACGATAATTCCTAACTGACTTCACAGAAGAAGATGGTTAATCACCACTGAATAACCACTGCCTGGAGCACTGCTCACAGACGCCATTTAGAAGGTGTGATTTCACAAAAATCACATGTTTTCACGTCACAGAAACACCACTTGCATTAAGACTAAACTACAGCTAGTAAAATTGGGGTTAGAATAGCTTGTGGAGGGTTCCGCTTGGCTCAAATCAATACACTTAGACGCTTGTTCCCATACGCCAGCCATAGAAACCGACAAAATGCGCGTTGGTAGAAGGTGCAGGTGGTACATTCTGTTCCCCCCCCCTCCCGACACACACACACACTCACCCCCACCCAAAGAATCAGTGCCGCACGCGCCAAACCTGGCAGCTGGTCAAGCCCCGGTGTCGCCCCGTTCCCGGGGGTCATGGACCGGTGGCGCGTGTCATCATGATTTTGCGGGATCGTTGATACATCCAGAGAAGGCGCGACACGTGTTGAAGAATACTTTTAATGGTAAGCACGTGTGACCGATAAGTTTACTTGTTTCTTAAACGCGCGAAAATAAGCACCAGGTAATGAAAAAACTTGACTCACGAGACGTTTGATAGGCATTTTTAGCCTTTAAAATTTTGTTTCACGCCACGTTACAGCTGCCTGAGCTGACTTTATCGATCGGACGAACAATCGATCTGGTTTGTTGGGTGTTTAAACTGTAAGTAGCTCTGTTTTGGGATATGTTTGCAACAAATAAACAAAACCTAAGGATGGACGGCAATAAAGCCACACGAAAGAAGTCGACACAACGAATTTCAAAAACTAACTTAAGGTTTAAAATACTAATTTTAGCCACACCAGAATGCAAATATTGTCCCCTTTTTTAATAAGACTACTACCCCGGCTAAAGAAACTTCAAGATTTTTAACGACTGAGGGAAAGCCTACTCCTAAAGACGTTTGTGAGTAACGGACGTGTTGAGCGTTCTCGGAGTAACCTACCTACCGAGTATATATCAAGTCAAATGATACCAGTAATTTGTGAAAATATAAGTTCAACTAATTGCAATGAGGCTGGGTCACTTTGCCTACGTCATCAAACTAATCGAACTCACATTCTTGTGGAGGGTTCAGGGGCGGCAAGTTAGCTGGAGGAGGAGGAGGAGGCGGCGGTGGAGGAAGGTAATGAGGCCAGTACGGTGAGGACGCGTTCATCCGAGGATCCACTCGCATTCCACAGGGCTGCACCAGTCGACTAAGTAGCTCCTGGGAGAATGTGTATGGAAACATCGAGGCAAAAGCAGACAAGTCTGGTGTAGGTATTTCCAGCTGAGAGAAATGTGGGTTTTGGTTAACGGCAGGTAGTTGCGGGAACGCCGACAGGTTATTGTTGGTCGGTGAAGTTGTCATGGCGTTGTATCGGTTGACGAAGTGCACTGGGCCGTTCAGCATTGCGAAATGATTCAAAAGTGAACCAAAGTCCTTTAAATCTGCTTCGTGATTAAATCTCAGTGTCTGTGTCGCGGCGACGCGTAAAGCTCACACCTGATTGGACAGTGCAACTGCGCATGTGTGCGACAACTTGACGCCTCTCGTTCACCGACCAATCAGATTGCGCCTGGCGATAATGAGCGCGAATCAACACTTCATGCATTAGAACGGATTACCAAAGTGGAAAATTTCGAAATGAATTGAACTAAGTTAGGGTTTTCAGTGGAAAAAATAAGTTTTTTTTTTCAATTTTCTTGAGTTTAAGCCTTTAGTTGCCAGTTTTAACACCACACTTCACAGGACTTGTCTATTTCCAAGGTATTTATCAAAAAAGCTTAGGGTAAACCAACTTTGGTGTGTTGGACTAACACACTAGAATACTTTCGTGCTCGTTGAAGCCAGCTTTCGAAACGTAGTTTCTCAAAAACTTCATTTATGCTCCTACGCAGTGTGGCATGCTTTTAATTAGCCGTTCGAATTCTTGCAGTGATGAGTCAAGTATCGATTTTTTCCGCCAGAGACGCACTTTTGCATTCATTTTGAATTCACTTAAATTAAACAAAGGCTTTTTTGGGGATTCGTGGAACGAGCATTTTGGGGACACAGATAAGTCGAGACAGCTACCTTCTGTCAAAATATCGGCGACCACATTTTCCGATGTGGTTGCACTGCAGATCTCAGTCAAGAATCTTGCAGTTTCACACAATTAGCGATTTTGTATGCATACGTTGACGGGAAGGTCCATTCAATGGCGTGGACAGCGTAGGGTCAAATGGTAGCCTAGCGACTGTCTGAATAGGAAAACCAATAAATTGGTGTGTTCGATTTCCTTCTTAGGCCAGATTAATAGACTGTTCGGCAAAACCCACGCACAATTTGGCCATCGAAACCCTTTATCGCCAAGATGAGCTTGACCTTCTCTCAATTTTTGAAGTCTTCCCCACAAACCCACTAATAATTGGTGTCTTGATTGGGAATTTTGAAGTTATGTACGCAAACATATGTCCGATTCATCTTTAGACAGAGACCGCAGGGGTGGTGGGGTGGGTGAGCTAGTCGAAATGGGGGAGGGGGGACACTATGGGTGTGTTTATCGTCACCCTTGAGGACCGAAGACTGCAAATGAAAACAACTAACGTTAAAACTCCCCGGTCCACTCAATGCGTACCAAGTGTTATTTTTTTTAAAGCTAGGGGTCTCTCGATTTAAGTCGGATTGGGAAAAAAATAACAATGGGATTCCACCTAAAATAACACCAATAAACTAATCGATGAGCGAAAATAACCACACGCAGACGGGATCAACTGACGCGTGGATCGTTCACCCTCGCAGGGATGAAAAAACGACGGAATTTCGCTCGGACGCTTTGAAATCCGTCGAAATTCAACGCCAACACGAGGTTCCATGAGCTGAGTCGCAGACACACACACACACAATTGTCGTTGATGTTGTTTGTCGTTCGCGCGCACGGCTACGCAGCCGACATATTTGCATTCGCGTACGTAACAGATGTCATAACGCAGATAAGATTTTCGCTAGAGCTTTTGTTCAACAGACTTGTGCATTTTCGGCCGAGACAACGACTGTGGGCTGCCGGTGGTGGTGGTGGAGGCGGCGGCGGTGCAGTGCGTTTCCCAGCTCTCTCCTCCCTCACCTCCCCTCCCACCCACACTCCGTGCCTCTCCCGACACCCTAGATCGAAATGCCGATAAATTTCTATTCACCTGTCCCCAGTGGAAACCGATTTGGCGATGATATGCCGTAGTAGCAGCAGATGGGAATTTAAACTGGGATTGTAAAGAATCAAAATGAGTCGATACTTGTTGATAGAGAATTTTCGGTCAAACTTTTGAAACAAACAGAGAATATGTTTGGTTTCTATGGTCTTTAGGAAAAGGAATATGTACAATTTCAGAGTATAGCTCCAGAAATCAATAAATCTTCACGACTTGTGCGATTCGAGTTTGTATTTCCAACTTGGACATCATGATTCGAAGTGGGTCCGATCACGCGGTGTCATGTAGGGGGGTCTGGTCGAATCTCGTGATGGATCAATTTTGCACAAGGGCTCAGCTATCGAAGCTGGACAACTGAGTACATCGCGCCGATGAGTTATTGAGAGAAGTGGTAGTCGGGATTAGACTTGGTGAGCGTTGCATTACTTGTCCATCAAAAAGCAATCGATGCTGGTCCAATCGGTGAAAGCAGTGTGAGCGAGTTTTCGAGTTACGCTGGCACTCGTTGACGACCTGTTAGCTCCCCAACGAAGATCCTGGCTCCCCTGAATGTGGTGGGTCAAAGAACCCTCCTTTCGGTTGTTCAGTGTTAATCGTTCGATGGAGCCCTCCAGTCGTCCAAGAATCTGAACGGCACATCGTTCGGTTCGATCGAGGAAGCCTAGAGACCTCTCTCGAGGATATCTGTCCCAGTTTCTCACGTTCACCAGATCGTCTAACCTCCGTCCATCCATCCATCAGTCAATCAATCGAGCAGCCAATTAATGAATTCAACGATCAAATTGGATTGTCTATCATCGATGGGATGACAAACGTGGTTCAAGCGTCAACGCAGTGATTCCAAGTGCGTTCCCCAACTCGCCCTGAACGCCTTCAACAGAGCCAAGACGGGAGGTCACATGTGAGGCACACTCGAGGCAGTTAGTGGAAAGTACGTTTGGAAAAGCTGCAGTGATTGGGTGCGGTAGAAGCGGTCGTGCAGCAGGCAACCGTGGTATTCGCACGAGTCTCTGTAGCCTGTCGCAATTAATCTCATCTGATTGCTCCAATTAACATGCATTTCGGACGCTGATGACGGTTATTTTATTTCAGCTGTTAGTGAGGTTAAGGTGCCATGGAGCCTTCTATGACATCGTTAGCTCGAGTGTGATTGGTGGAAAGTGGGCAACATTTTACTGAAACTTTCGTAAGAGATCGTGATCCTTAAATTAAGCATCGCCATAAAAGTTTTTTCAGTACTTATAATACCCTTTTGGGGTAACTTCGTATTCATACATTTCTTGTCCATTAAAACTGATTTTCTTCTGCCTAATATGATTATTTTGGATAAATCGAAGTCCCGCCAATTTTAACTTTACCGAAGCAGTAGCACTGAAATGTCTTTCCGCGATAGGGTGTTTTCTAATACTCATTATTCACGTGCCTCGAAGAAAAACTGGCCCTTAACCAAAAATCGATAATTTTGTCACCGCAACCTTTTCCTGATTTACCCCAGGGAAGGTAATCCTTCATTATCGCCCATTTCTTAAAACTAAAAATAGCGATTTCACAATCGCCCAAGCGGTGACTGAAAGGGTTTACCTAAGGCGTCACCGATCGCTTCTCCCCTTCCTCCCCCCCCCACGGGTTATGTCATCACGGAGGGGTCAGGTGCGGGGGCGGGAGACGCGCAGCAGGGTGAGTTGGGAGAATTAATTAACCCGTGCTGGCCAGATGTTGGTCGCGTGTTAAATCCACAGCTGGTTGAGGCAATTGCGCTCCACAAATGGCCCGTTCATCTGCTCATACTGAGGGGATTTTGAATTGGGCCCTAACAGAAGGGCAAAGATATGGGGTCACTGGGGAGGATCACCTTTTATTGGCCATCGAATCTGGATTTTTGATGATTTTTTTTGTTCATGGTATTTGTAAGGACTATTACCACTACAGCTGCCACTACCTGTATAACAACAAGAGCTAGTACCAGCACTACTACTAATACTAATG